GAAGCCTGATTTGCGTACTAAAGCTTGTCAGGGAGTAAAGGCGCGGGCTTTGCTCGCTGAGCTACCAGCTACCCCTTACAGAGCTGTGTAAGCGGGTGTCTCTTCATTCATGGAGAACAGGGGGGGATCTCCAGAATAATGTGACTCGGATATTATCACGCTGGAGCCTTGTTATTGAACAATTTAGAACGAACAGTACTGGATATGTGGCATAACGGAAGATGTGCCGGCGAAGCTTGTCCATAGTTTTATTGGAGTGCAAGCAAAAACATGAAACGAAAAGAAACTGGAACATGATTCCATCTGCCGCATATCAACGGGATAAAGAATGATATAGCGAGATGAACATTGGTGAATACGTTTACGTAATCGGGACAGCGCGACTGCCTGTTTTTGTCGACGAATTTCACGTTGCTGAGTCAAGTTGTCTTGCATGAAAGTAGAGTCACATTCGAGGATTTATAGCTAGACTTTGGCAAGGCGGAATGCTTCCTGACCCCCGCTTTGCGAATTCAGTCTTTGGCGGGTCAATGCAACATGTTCCATTGGAGGACGAGCAAAACGGACGCAACAGTTGCGCAGCAGACAGCATAGTGCGGCTTGGCCACCGACGGACCAGCTGGTTGCACATACAATGCAGAACCCGATTCTGCTTTGCGCTACCTAATCCGAGCTATTCTGTGGTGGCGGAGGTTGACATGCATCTCTTGCTGTGAATTCGGATGACGCCGTTACAGTGACCAGCACGCGTTCCATCTGAGCTAGCTTCACACTTGTTTTGCAATCACGTGTTTGTCGTGGCGATATCATTGGCTACGCCGCTTTTTTACAAATATCTGTTGCGCGAGTCGATATCATATCCGGGATGCAACCATGGGTACCTATGCTTAGCTTTAACACTTGTGGTAGCCTTGACATATACTAATCAAGTACATTCAAGTACTACGACTGCGAGCGACATTATCCACTGCTCTTGGCCTACTTCTATATTCTCCAATCCAATGTCCCGCTGGCCATTTGAGACAAGGCAGCACATGTCTGGGCCATCGGACAAGAAGCACCATGTCCGGATCATCACCGAATTCCTGCCAGCATGCTTTTGTAGGAGCTGCAGCTTGACAGGGCTTAGCAACAACCTTTGGCGAGTCCCCTAGGCGAGCCCTAGCCAACAAGCCTGCGCAGCATAACGGAGGGCTTCACCACCCGCATTCCGCACAGCATCCTTCGGATGGCAGGCATATGCAAAACAACACTCAGAGAATCACAACAGGTGTGAGCCACCAATTGTCCTGCACTAAGCTGCGATCTTTCCGAAGATCCTGAAGGCTGGCTCTGCGACTTGGTCGCAGTCTGGGCAAGGAATCAAGTTTTCATGGAGCAATGCGAAGCGCGTCTTCGGTTCCCAGACCCCAAATTGATGCCACCATCGGCATATTGGATGTGGGACGCAGGTCAGAGGAGTAAGATCTGGATGACCTCAAGATACCTCTAACAAGGACTCAACAGTAACATCTTGCTGTCTATTCCAGATGCGTTTATCGGCCAACAAATGGTACCATGTTGCGTGCTCATCGTCTAGCACGGCAAGCACACGGCGCAGCACCGATTACACTATACCTGTGTCTGTATGATAGCTGCAGCTCTCATGCTAAAAAAATCCATCTCCTGAGATGGACATACAATAATCTAGCCTTTCTCCTTGTAACATATGGCATATCAGGTCAACTTAATGCTCAGGGCGCACGCAATCTCAGAATATCTCAGAATGAGCCATTCTTGAAGCCTGTCCTTTGAGGCGAATCTCAACGCGGTCCCATCCACTCCTCTGCGGGGCATGCGCAGTCAACACTCCAAGGTACGCCAAGCTTGTCCAAAGGCTGACTCCAGGGCATGCGTGCCCATGCGTGCCCATGCGCAAGGAACTCCCATCTACACAGATCTACACTTCTTACGAGTAGAAATCCTACAACTTTTGGCGGGAGCCAATTTCAATCTGAATCTCAGCCTATGATGCCTCAGCGTGCCTCAACACAACGGCGGGCTCAATTGAAGACACAACACAGGCCATGGAATTTCAGGTTGCAGGCTCACGGCACATGGAATGTGTGTTTCCATACTAGATTGCTGTTCTGCACCGTCATTTGATCAGGTACGCATCATGGCAGTGTGGTTGGAGGGAGCATCGCTCGGACGGCTTCAGTCATGTCTAGACAGTTGGAACTCTTTCTTGACCTGCTTTTGGCTCGAATGCGTCTGTTTAAAATGAACTCAGCTTGCTAACAGCCACTGAGTGAGAGACTTACCGCTTCTTGCAGGATTATGAGATCATGCCGCAGATCGCTGGACAAACACCTTGGCTGACACCAAATGCACGAGCAACACACATGCTGTGTGCCACAAGCGTTCAGAGCGTCGCTGCTAGGGCGCTACAGGCGCTGCAGGCACAGCACACCCGCTTATCAAATGACACGAATTTGGGGTCGCAACTCGAAGGCCAGGGCACTCTGGCGCAGGGCAGCCTGAGGTTGTCTTGCGGATGGACACATTTCAGAGTTATTGGCCGCTTGCATTCAGCTTGTACACACACGCTCACACAGTTCGGATCTGCGTGGACAAACCATTAATAGGCGACTAGCTGAAAAGAGACCTTGTGTGGAGCTTGAGTACCCACACCGTCGATCAATCACTCCAACGTGCACCCAAGCATACCCCAAACAAACTGAGCAAAGAGCGATTGCGATTTCTTCGTCGCGCCGTACCTCTTGCCCTAGAAACTCCAAAGCCTGGAATCAATTTCCCGCGCTTGCTGCTCATGCCGCTCTGCTCATGATGGACATGCGAAAAGGCTCTGACCCACCAGCACGACTGCACAACAGGCAGCGTGACAACCGGATCGTTCTTGATATCATCAGAGGCGTACTGCAAGGCCTTGAGCCAATCCTCTCATCCCAAAGGTAACCAAGGCCCCTAAGCCTTCCATCGCCTTCCAGCTTTGCCGCGCTGCAATTTCAATGCATGCCGCGTCAGCTTTGACCTTTCTGCGGCTCGGAAGAGACAGAGTGGTCGACCATGGTTCAACCATGAAAGAGCTAGCATACAGTGAGGCTATCGGCAAAGTCCAAACCATTGAAATCTGATCCAAAAATTGACCCTTCGTTTTTGCGTTACCCTTTCGTCTTGCAGTGTCTAGCGGTTGCTGTTCCACCTTGTGGCCTGGCTTTCTTCGCTCTTAGCTTGCCCCTTCGTTTTACAGGGTGCTAAGACTAGATTGCCTGAAGACTACTCAAGGAGGTCACGCCCTGATTCGGAACTATAAACTAAACCCTGATTCGGAAACAAAAACCCTGATTCGGAAACTCGGAAACTAACAACCCTAAGTCAGAAGCTAACAACCTTGATTCAGAAACGAACAACCCTGATTCTGAAACCCAAAACCCTGATTCGGAAACTGAAACACCTGGTTCGTAAACTATAACCGCCAGATTCGGAATGCGAGAGATTACCCCTCCCCCCCGCGAGAAGTGTGTAGTTTCAGTTTAGCTTCGGAATCGGTGATTTTAGTTTCTGAATCGGGGATTTTAGTTTCTGAATCGAAGGAGGTTTAGCTTGTGAATCGGGTTTTTGTTGGTTTCTGAAGCAGGGACATGTTATTTCTGAAGCGGGGATATCACTTTCTGAATCGGGGTTTGCTCGCTCGAGGATGTGAAGTATCTTGCCTGTCTCTCAACGGCAAACTCATGCCCTACCGGGTAGCAAACGGTAAACGCATGCCGCTGAACTCAAGTGACTTAACACTTCTGCAACATAAAATGCTAACACACCTGAGCTCAGCGCAACGCAAAGCCTCCGAGCACTCAGTTTTCGAACACGAAGAAACGCACTCAGAGTCGCATTGCTCCCAGAAGGTGACCAGACAGAAAGGAGCACATCTAGTTCCAGGAGGCAAGAATGAGAAGCCAAAGCTGAGCGGCAAGAAGAAATCAACAGCCTTTCCGGCTCTACAAGCTGACACCACGCGCTATCCTTAAGAATGACTTTTTGGCAATTGTTGACCGCTATCTTGCCGGAAAGACTTGGCAGGGGAGCAGATCGCCATTGCTTGTGACTAGACGGCCAGACCACGAGCAGGCCAGGCAAGCAGAGCAAGCCTGAGGGACCGACGTCCTCTGGAGCTTCTATCAAGCACTGCCAGTTGGAAGCCAGCCTTGCCTTGGCACAGCGTGCTGCCAGGTTCAGGTCGTGAGGACAATCATGCTGCCTCCCAAAGCTCACGATCTGGCAAGGCGGTGTTCTTCCTTAATGGCACTTCGGCTCATACACTCCCAGCGGCTTTCAACACCACCGACACGGGATTCAAGTAAGTCTCTCCTGCTGAGGTCTCTTTCTAGCCTTGGTCTTTTGGATAACCTTTGCCTCGGAGATGCACCCTAACAGCAGCAGCAGCAAGAATAAGGATAGGTGTGGCTCAAGTCTCCAGCCTCCGCTTCCTGCCAGAGCTTTTTGCTTAAGCAATGCTTGACACGAGATGTCTCTACCATCATTTACCAAGACGGAAACCCTGTCCTGCCATTTCTTTCTGGCATTGAAGAGCGCAGACATAGCTTGCAGATCATGCTGTGCTGGGGAGTTGTTGCTGCAGGCTTCTGCGCAAACTCGCTGCAGACTATCAACCTCATGCTGGTAAGCCTTTGTCATCTAAAGTAAAGAATGCCGAGGCCTGACTGGTACGAGACTTGAATCAGATCCAGTCCATCGAGCTTTCTAGCTTCTGGAGTGAGTCTGTGCTCGACTTGAGCCAAGAGCGTATCACCTTCTGCCAATCATCATGCGCTGAACTTCATTAGGAGAAAGGGCAACTGGATGAGAAAAGTGCAGCTTCCTGCCAGTAGTTCTCGCCGCCCTTCTTGAATTCAAACTTCTTGAGCGGCCCATCGGCCACGGTAAGCTCCTTGAAGTTCTTAAGGGTCGCGGCAGAGGAAAAAAAAAAATGGCAAACGCGCCTCTGCTCGAGCAATCTCTGCTGGAATCCGATTGGCGCAGTGGCAACTGCAGCAGATGAAAATGCGCCCATGTGCGCTCACATACCTTGGCTGATTGTCGCTGCAGTCATTCATGGCCTGCCTGCCTGAGCATCAGCTGCGACAGGCTACGGATTGGTGTGACAACCTAGACACAGCTGGTCCTGAGTTTGGGACTGGGCCGTGTGGCAGGAGCCACACTCAACGATTCTCATGCCCTTAAGCAGCTACATGGAAGCAAGCTAGATGGAAACAAGTAGCGCGCAAGGTTGCACAACAATTCTTTGTTAAATCTTCTTGGACAGAGCAAGACTTCACTTGACTCTGCTGAGCAGGCCTCGGGAGCATGCCGGACCACCGTGAGGTGCTGTGTCTCACAGGGCTGGCAAACTGCAATATTCCGGCACCAGCCGACAGACAAGGACAAAACAATTCTGAGGCCTGCTTGAGGATTCGGTATGAGCGAAACAATCCAACCAACAGCACCGCTATCAGGATCACGGCCAAGGCCCAGTGGAGCTGCACAGGGCAAGATCTCCAAGATGTTCCAAGATACATGGCCAGAATCCCTGCCAAGGACCAGACAGTGCCTGGCTGCGCTTCCGCCTGGACCACTTGAACAGGATGCGTTCAGACTGCCAAAGCTGACTGCTCAAAGGCCTGCACAAGTGGCCCCAAACCACCTCGATTCTTAACTGAAGCCCCGCACAGCTCCAGGAACGCCCACAAAGAGAACACCGGGCCAGCATCAAGAATAGTTGCACTAGGAGCAGGTGCAAAGTACTTCGTTACATTTCGTTATGCTCAGGCTGCTCGTGACACTCCGTTAGTCTGACTTTGGCATTCTTAGCACACGTTGTGAAAGAAGCTGAGCTGGACCCTCCCTGCCGAGCATAACAAATTTCGCGAGGCCCACACCATTGACGGTCTGACTGGCCACAGGAACAGGTAGCAAAAGCACCTGCAAGCTCCAAAAGGCCAAAGCACTTCAAGCCAGCCATCTGCCACGATCTGCCACGAATTGCTGGCAATATAAACACCTGCCTGCACACTGCCGGCGAACAGCAAGCTCAGGTAGTCCGCAACATTGCCTTGCAAAGATGGATCACTGACGTTTAGCAATTTGTGTTGACCCCCTCGTATGATTCACGCGCCTTTTCCCATGGCTTAATCAGACATCCTGACACGCGAACGTTGCGTGAACCAAATGTTGAGCCAGACAAGACAACGCGCGTCATGGCTCGCAGCCTTCACCCTTCGCCGGACCACAGCGCCAAATATGAAGTGCAGGGTCCCAAGCAGGCTGAGTGTTTCTGGGTGTTCTGACGACTCTATGGGGTCACAAGTTCGCGAGCACACTGTCAATGACTGAAGACTGGAGCCGATATCGTGCAAGCGCTCAAAGATCAGAGCAGAACATGCAACAACTGCTATAGCACTGCGGCGGAATGCTGTGCTTCTTTTTGTCATGCAGCAGCGCCCGCAATAAGCCTCGCACTACAAGCCATTCAACAGCTGACAAGCCGATCCAAAACGTTTGTTGAGCTTCTTGTTGTATTGCAGCTGGGGCACACGTCACACTGAGATGCCTGCTGGGACATGCCTAGGATGCAGCTCCTAAACTCGACACCGGCAGCGACTGCAGCTGCAGCTGCAACACAAAACGTGCAAACCGGGACCAATAACTGCTTGCAAGTGTGTTGGCACACTGGGTGTCGGGATATGTAAGCGATTGCTACCACTTGCCCCACTTGCAGCACACTTGACCCACTTGACACACTTGCTCTTGCAACACGCACTTGACCCACTTGCGACGCACTTGACGCACTAGCCACGCACTTGACCCACTTGCGACGCACTTGACCCACTTGCGACACACTTGACCCACTTGCAACGCACTTGCCAGACTCGATCCACTCCCTTCCCAGCTGCCGTAGTCGTCCTAGGTCAAGCGTGGCAAGTGTGGTGCAAGTGGGCCAAGTGTGTCGAGTGTGCTGTGAGTGGGGCAAGTGGGGCAAGTGTGCTGCAAGTGGGCCAAGTGTGTCGAGTGTGTTGCGAGTGGGTCAAGTGGGGCAAGTGTGCTGTATAAGCCTGAATCCACTTCC